ATACGCCAGCAAACTGCTAGTACTCAATAATACCGGCAAGAATAGCAACCTCCTATCACTTATGTTACTTATAAAAATATGCACGACGTGGTCGCACTGCCCTGTTGATTCTAGAAGCCCAGAGAGCCGCTGATGAAGCAGGCCCCGGCTCCATAGTAATTCAGCACCCGCAGTGCATGGATTCTAAACCGAATCACTGTGCAAAGCGAACACCATCAGATATACGTCAAACCAGCGAAGTGCCTGGAGATCACACTGAGGATTAGTCATTTGAGATAAAGTCTGCATTAACTTTCCAGACAGTCTAGGGAACCAATCAGTCCGAAAATCCACCATGCTCTAGACTGCTGCCTTCTCCACAGTTCCTGTAGCAATCAGACGACGATCAAGAGAGATCAACGCGAAGTGCTGCTGCTGACCATTGCAAATAAACTGTTTCTATGCTATTCCTCATGTGCCATGCTAATATCGAACGCACTGCAATTATACATCACTATCATCATCATCAGTCTGTCTAGATCCTCTGCTGGATGAAGGTCAATCCAAAATTGGTCGTAAACTTACTTTCTGATGTGATTCTTGTTCATCTTTATCCAATGAACCTCTTTAGTTCATTCTGCCATCCATCTGGAGATCTCATGAGTCGTTTATTCTATATTGTATCCAAGTCTAACGTGTCTCTGGTCCAGCGAAAATAAGTTCTTACTGCAACGTAGACCTACCTGTTAGTATCATTATTCATCTTCATCAAGCCTGCTCATATTCATTCATCTTCCCATCTTATTATTTCTCTGAAGCATATTTTTATGGCGCATTGAACAGTCAGCAATTTATGAACAGCCTACATGCAGGGCATAAACATAATTTTATATCATACACTATTAATATTTAACCGACGCGTTTAGTCGAACATCTGGTCAGCAGCCTGGAGAATGCCAGTAAAATTTCTCAAGATGCGTTGTTTCTGACACAATATCTGTCATTAGGATCAAAAAGATCATCGCTGATCAAACGATGCCCAGCTTTTGGAGAAAATGTTTCAGAAGCACTGAAAAGTGAGGATGGTGGCGATGACATAAAAAAGGATGCAGGTGACTGCAGTGTTGATGCATTACCTAAACTTGACTCCGCGATTCAAGAAGCAAACAGAAGTACTGAAATGAGTAGCGAAGTTCAACACAACTTTCAACAATTCAAAATGATGAATGAACCTTTGATGAGAAGACAAAGGCTTGAGAGAAACGTAAGAAAGATTAACTCGACGGTTCGAACCTCGAAGCCAGAACAGATGATTGCCAGCGGAAGGAAAACCGTCGGCAGCAGCGATGAAGCAACTGACAAATGGAGCTCGGAGAAAACCGATGCAAGGAACAAGGAGAAAAATGATGCTGCTGTCAGAGAAATAAAATATTTGAGTTCGCGGGACGATGCCCATCGCGACAACGATATGCAAGAAATGTCGTTTAAGAAGCAGTGCATAGTGAATGCTGCTAAAAGACTGAAAAAAGATGCTCACGCATCACTGATTGATGTTTTGATCAGGAAGTCATTAATCGAGGCAAGTGATTTGCTAAAAAATTCGATTAGCAGAAGTGAGTTACAGTCCTGCGACGCTTACACTTGGCCCGACATGCCTGAAGGATATGTACGTCGTATGGCAGAATTCATTGAAGGCGGAACTATTGTCAATTCAACTGAAGCTTCGTCATGGACGTCGTAAGTCCCCACTCCATCCGTCAGACTGAAGAGATCATATCTACAATCGATGCATGCAATATCGCTGCTGTTTGTTAGAAGTTACGTAATATAACAGATTAACAGTATGTTCAATAATAACATACTCACAACTTTGCGCAGTTATATGTATTTATGTATACCTTCGGTTACAGACGCCACAGCAACTGTGGACCACATAACCAGCTGCAGAAAACAACCCAGACGACTACGAAGAAGGGTCGTGAAAGACGAGCCCAAAATTTTCACTAACTCACTATCATGATAAAAAGTATTAAAGAAGACGTTAGCCAGGCCAAAAAATCAAAAATCATTTGAGAAACAAATTTCATTTGAAGCAGTACACGATTCAATCGCAATTTGTTAGGATCTTGTTCTTCAGCGTCATCGGCGTTAATCTATTCCATAATTTGTGGACCTGCTCAACAAACTGAATTGTTGCCAGTCTGATGACGTACCTCTGAGGTGTGCGGCTGAGGGGGGGGGGGAATTATTGTGAATGAGAGAAACACATAAAGATATTTTCGATATTGTAGCCATAAAATATGGTCAAACGCAGTTTGTGCAGGAACAATCATGTATATGGTGACAAGTAACAGACGATGAAAAGCGAAGTGATATAAAAAAGCTCTTTCTGATCCTTCAAGTGATAGATCTCTAGGTCACTGCATCCATGTCTACATTGTGTAGTTCCCCTCCCCCCCATTTTTTGCTTCATAGAGTATAAGTAAATGTATTCTGTGCTACACTGCGACAGTTCGTTCGATGATCGGACGGTCAACGGCGCCATGATCACGAGTATGTAGCACGCCAGGTAAGCTTGGTCAGTTTCCAACATAGCCACACTGCTCAACATAGTCAATGGCTTGACCATTCACTTGAACCTTGAGGTCAAATGTGCCTATTAAATAACGTACTTTTAAGCCTGCTTCTTTGAATTATCGCAGAAGGCACTGCGTACAAAACCGACATTGTCAACGTATAAAAGTCGCAAACGCAGATATTCAAACCCCACGAGGAACTTGCTTAAAGATACGGTCTATGGCTCAGTAGAAATACACAGGCGAAAGCATGCCTGTTTATCACTGCATTGCTGAAAGTTGCGTACAATGACACAAAGCGATCAATTTATTTGTATACGAAATAAATTGTTTCTCAATGGACCACTTTTGCGTCTGCATGAATGACACTCTCGCATGGTAAGCATCAGCCTGTTTAAGTCAGCGTGAACGAAAGTACGGCAACACATCAATTCGTATATGTCACCGTGGCCATTGTTCCGTAACTTGAATCATACAAGTAATCGCTACATAAGCAAAAAATACCTCCTTCCGGCAAATGAACTTTACTACTGCTCATGTCACGAGACCACGAACACAAGTGAGTCCTCATTGCACCTACAAAGACGATGGTAAATCAGAGGGGAGAAAACGAATCAACGTAAAATAGAAAAGCAGTATGCAGCAATGAAGTTGCCGATGGCCAGACAGGACGTGATAAAACGGATATGAGAAACTTGTATTTTGTCGCCAAAACGTTTTTTGCCTCAAAAACAAGGCGGCAGAACTGCCGAAACCAGAATGTCTCAGCTGCCTACATTCACTTGCTCAACAAATGAAAAGAAGCAGAGGAAAACTCGTTCCCCGCCGCGGCTGGCTGACGTTAATTGGAAAAAACGGCAGAAAAGCGAAGGAGCACAAGATGGAGGATCAAAACAACCTTTAGACTTCATTTCCAAATCCAGATCGAAGCCATAGAGAACAAGTGACATGGTCTGAACCGAAAAAATATCTCATTCTTTACTGTCATTCATAGGTAATAACAGTGGGTTGAAAAACTCATCCAAACTTTGAAGCACAGTTCAGAAAAAGTCAGCCACATGGACCTAGATAAGCGCTTTAAACCAAGCGCTTTAAACGATCCAAGAAATTAAAGAATTATAGAACAACAACAACAACTAACCCACGGACAAAGTCAATAGCAAAGACATGACAGCTGTGACAATCGGTCAAACAATGTAGGCTTGCTTGATTGGTTAGAATTTACCATTTACATGGCACATATAAAGGTTCTGTCAGTCAAACCATTTTAGTTGATGAGGGCTGAC